GTTTCTTTGAGTAGCTGCGTAGGGTCGAATCGAACGTAAACAAAGGGCAGCAGAAAGTGATTGCAAAATTTTGGTGCAAAACGCGTTTGCGTGCCTTCAAAATAAGCCGAGAGGGCCAGATAACCAGCTCAATTGCCATTTATAGGCCAACCGACATGCAGATGGAACAAGAACCATGCAGCTCTTCTGAAGTCGTGCAAACGGCTCGTAATGGGCAATCTGCAGAAGATGTTAAGAATGGAGCAGGATCTGCTGATGGTGGATCCATTGACGATGGTGTTATTCTTGGTGGTGATGGGGATCCCACGATTATTGAAGAGGAAAATACTGAGGACGAAGAGGGTTGGTTCTACAAGTTTCAAAAGTTCAAAGTTGACTATGAAGTTTTATAAACAGATGCTGAAGTTGAAGATGGTATCCGTCGTGCCGAAGAAGCGGCTGCTTGTGCTGTTGAGTGAGTGGAGTCTTTTCTTAAAGCCAGTCTTTTATTCTACTACTTCATTTAGGTACCAAAAGTACAATGAAGTAATCGATTTTGGACGTTCTGTCTACGCACTATCTCAACAAATTCCTAACCTAAGTGGGGAGACAAAAGCACTTCTAAACGTGGGGATCTTTGTACTTTCTTTGCTTTCTTCATTTTGTCGCAAATTTTGCTGTTTGCAGGACTCATTGGCTACGATATGCCTCATGGACCATGCACAATTTGAATCACATCAGCTTTTGAGTGAAGAACATTTACAAGATCTGGCAAAGCAGACGGCAGCAGCTATACTAGGCGCGTTTGTTTTCATTCTTTTTTATCGAGTATATAGTTTGAATTGAACTTCGTAGCACTTTCGTACTTTGTTTCTAGAATTTGGCGGCCGAAGCCCACAATCACAACTTTCTCGATATTTCCATCTATGGGCAAAAATGCAGTCTGAACTAGCGTCCGCAAAGATACCGCACTGTGCATTTACTGATGTTACGCAGCTAGTAAGTTCATCGTGATTGTGATTTTCATCAGTATAATAGTCTAAATTTTTTGAAACGTGCTCGCACTTTCCTTGTTAGCATCACTCAGACAACTGACTGGAACTTCCGCAGAACGTTCGCGAA